GATGGAAAATAGGATCTCAACCACAGCTGAGTGAACCAAAGAGGTCCACTGCCAGTAGGAGATGCACCATTCTTCAATTGAGCCTGAAGAAAAGCCATACCTCTATAAAGGGCAGCCAAAAACAAAGAACATAAATTCAAAGGCCTGCCACGCGCCAGTTCATGCACTATAGGTAGATAACTCAGAGAGGACTTTATACTAGGCACGCACAACACATATTTACAAAGCCAGAGTAAAAGGAAGGCCACTCGCTCAGCATGAGTAGGCTCAGCACTCGAATGATTGTACAGTGTCTGCAGGCTTGAATAAGAACCGGTATAATTTTTACCGAACTGAGGGGCGCCACCAGAAACTAAGATGCCTGGGAAAACGGTATCACCCAAAGGTGGTAAATTTACCAGGGCCCCAACATCCCTTAACGTAATAGACATGGGGCCAAGAGGGGGCCAAGAGGAAAAATAAATGTGTTATACTCAGAGGACCAAAAGCTCAAAGCAATCGGAAAGAGCGCTGAATCAAAAGTAGGGGGGCGAATAGAGACTTCCAACAAATCAGAAATCCTAGCGCTATCAAAAAGTGCCTTAGTAGGACCATGACCCACAAGACGAGCATGCCACCTACGAAAAGCTACGTCAGATTTGGGCCAAGTGCGAATACCTTTTTCACGAAGTGGCCCCAGCGGCAAAGAATTCAGAAAAGGAGGGCCATGAGTGCAAGGAAACAGCTGACCCACCGCCGCCTGTTCGACTGCTTCCGCATTGTTGAAGAAAGGACCCAAGTAAAACTCATTACGTCCAACATCGGCGGGCGCAAGAAAACTTGGGGTTACGTATGAACGACTCAGAAGTTTCTGAAAGTCGTCAAAACTAAAGGAATCGCTAGCTTGGGATTGTAAAGCAGCCATTGAAGAAGGAACGAAGCTTTTCAGAGTTACGTAACAAGGAAGCAAAATATGAACAGTGAATCGCGAAGGATGCGTAAGAAATATGAAACGTGATTTCGTAGCAGTAAAATGGCGTGTTCGGAGTTTATAAGGGTTTGCAAAGCGACGCACCTTTTCAAGTTATAGAAGGAAACAATGATTGAAATTCTTTGGGAATCGCTAACGTTGCTGGAGACGTGAAGTGAATATGGCAAAATTCAATAATTATTATTAATAATAGTGCGGTAATGCCATCGTCCAAGTTTGCAAGTCGCTCAGAGTCTGAACAAATAGAGTGGCATACGGTCGTCCAAAGTCTCGTCCAAATCTTCAAGTCGCACAAGGTATCAACAAACATAACGCATTATGATGCAGTTATTGAGGCAGTTGCTAAAGTAACTTTATCACGTTCCACGACTCAAGGGGTTCAATCGAAAGCGGTTGAACGATGCAAGATAATGGCAGCAGTTAAAAGGACAGTTGCATGACAAAATGGCCACTACAAAGAAAGTGGGTAGTTATAGGGCGATCAAGCAGTTTTTTTAGAGCAGTTAATCACAAAAGGATCGCCTGTGAAGTATAAAAGGGGGAAAGAACTTAGAAGTAAAGGACCGAATCCAAAACTCTCGAACAGAGAATATGTAATTTTCATTCCTTTAGCTTTTAGACTTAAACATTTCCTTTTCTGTAACTCGTGTGCTTGCGCCCCTTGGAGATACGTTGTTTTCCGTTTCCAATTGTAAAGTTCATCGCCAATAAAAAGAACACCCCTTTTTGGGACTTTGTCTCAAGAGATTTCGTCCCTTACACAATCGTCTGATCCTCTTTAATTGTTAGCGAATTAACCCGCACGAAATACCATCCTATTGCAGTTGTATTAATCATTACAGATTACTTGCGAAAAATTTACAATTTATCCTTATTTTTGCATTGAACGTGTCAATGGCCTTTCCATTTCAATTGCATCAATTTTACTCACTGCTCTCAAATTGCCTCCATACCCAATCTAACTCTTGGTTTTGTGTTTTCGTTGCAGAAGCGATAGGCAATGAGGTGGTAATGGTGTCGATTGCAGAGCAACCTTGGGTGGGTGGTGATGGTGGTGGCCATTGATTTATGTTGAGTTTTCTTGGTTTGATTTTCACGGGGTGGGGTGTTGGGATGATGGTTTTATCTCTTTTCCTTTTTTATTTAATTATTTTATATGGGAACATATAAAGTTTACAAATTTGTCCTTATAGAAATAGTTAATAATGTGGGTAAAATCATTTTTTTTGTCAACTAACGGAAAAATGAATGGATTTGGATTATAGCTTCTAACTTTTCATATGTTTGAGATATTCGCTGGCACAAACTAAAAGCTAAGGTAAAATCAACAAAAAATTAAAAAATTAGGGACCGCTATTACAATTTTTCCTATAAAAAATATAAAATTTTTGGATGGCTCACAAAGTTCAACTAATATAAGCTTGTCCTTGGCAAGTGTTTATAAACTGACGAAAACAAGATGAATAAGTGAGGAATATTTGTAAATTTCACAAAATATATGAATAAAAAATTATGAGTAAGTGAGTACTACTTGTGAATTTCTCAAAATAATGTATGTTGGTTGTTTTACTTTAACAACATTCTTATTTATTTATTAAACAAATACTTTATTTTAGTAACATGTAAACAAGGTTGTTCTGCTAAAAATTCATTAACGCAGCTAGACTCCAAAAAATACAAAATATAGGGGGTGAAAAAAGGGAATAAGGTCAACTTTAAGGACTCATTTGCAAATATCTTCCCTATATATGCTCTCCACTTCTTCATCTCTACATTTACACTAGGGTTTCTCCTCTCTTGCGAGTGTTGTTCAGCTACCCGAGCAGCAGCAGCCGCCGCCGCCGCCGCCTCCGCCTCCGCCTCCGCCTCCGCCTCCGCCTCCTCCAAGACAGCCGACGTCATGGGTCGTATGCACAGCCGAGGGTCCTCTTTCTCTCTCTATTAACATATACGCATACATGAATAGATAATATCCATAAAAAACATTTACGTTTATTTCCCTTTTTCGTAAATTTGTAATGTATGTTATGCAGTAAGGGTATTTCCGCATCAGCACTTCCATACAAGAGGACTCCACCGAGCTGGCTCAAGATATCTTCACAGGATGTGCGTAATTTCACTTTCACACTCGCCTTTTTACTTTCTTCTTATTATTACCTCATTTTTCATCATTTACAATCTAGAACATTCTTTTTCACTCCAGGCAATCTCTGACTTTCTCTGATTATATGAATTGAGACATTGTTTAGTACCATTCGTAGCGATGCTAGTGTGTTAATTTAGAGAAAGTAATAAAATTTGGATCCTATACATTACATGTTCATATGTGAGTCATAGATGTTACTGCGAGGATCAACTATCATTAGTTTGACATTGGGAAAAATTATATTATTGAGTTTTGTGAAATTAATGGAAGTGTAGAATTGAAATAGGCCCTGAAGATGCTCACCACTCCGATATCTATTTAACAGTAAGTGCTAATGTGATAATATAAGGTTGAAAAGTTAAAGACAGACAATTGTTCATCTTTTCTTCTCTATGCATAGCCCTGACTTGATTTGTGTCTATTTAAAGAAAAATGGAGAAAATGAGAGCCAAATGTTGAGAACGAGTCCTCCTCATTTGTTCCCATTCCTTTTATGACTTGGCCAGCACTACTCGAGCTAGAACTTTGTGTATGAATCGATTTAATCTACCTGCGAGATTAATTTGAAAGCTTCTTTTAGCCAATTGCTAGCATAAATGGTTCCTGGTCAATGCATGTTATGTTATATGAATTATACGGCTGTGTTCATTCTTTTTGTCACAGTTGATGAGTTTTCTTTAATTCCATCTCGCAAATAAACACTTATCTTTGATTTCTAGTATTTTTAACCATCTCTATTCAGGTAGAAGATAGTATCTATAAGTTTGCAAAGAAGGGGTTGACACCTTCTCAAATTGGTGTTATTCTTCGTGATTCTCACGGAATTGCACAGGTGAAGAGTGTCACTGGTAGTAAGATTTTGAGGATACTCAAGGGCCATGGTAAATTTTCTGCACCATAGACTTGCTAGTTTCATTGTTTTCTATAGTTTGTAATTTTTTTACCTTCTAATTGTTATTGATGAACAGCACTTGCTCCTGAGATACCTGAGGACTTGTACCACCTCATTAAGAAAGCTGTTGCAATTCGCAAGCATCTTGAGAGGAACAGAAAGGACAAAGATTCCAAGTTCAGGTTGATTCTTGTTGAGAGTAGAATTCACAGGCTTGCTCGCTACTACAAAAAGACAAAGAAGCTTCCACCTGTCTGGAAATAGTGCGTTCAATTCCCATTTCTGAGATTTTTATATTTAGCTGAGTTTTCATTCACGAGCTTTATCAAATATTCTGTGCAATTTGATTATAGCTAAATTTTGATATGTTAGATATGCTTGCATCAGTACCATATTGACCTGAATAAAATGTATGTGTTCCAATCTAAGGGTGTCAAGCGTTTTAGCTTGATCACATTATTGTATTTACCAAAGCACATTTGATCTTAATGTAAATCAAGGACTAGGAAAAACAATTACCAAAAAGGGCCTGAGCTTCTTTTGTAATTTGGTTTGTGTTGCCAGCAGAATTAGTAAACATTGGAACCGCTAAAGTTGTGTTTCTTGATGCTTTTATTTTGGTCTAGTTATTTAAGATGAACTGAGCCTTTTTAACCTTTTTATGTTCATTGAACAACTGAAGAATTTTGTAGTCCTAAGCTTCTTTTGAGTTTTAGCCAATTCCTAAACACATGCATACATTTTTTTCTCTTCATTGGGAATACAATTAAATGATTTTTATTTTTCTTATTATTGCTGCAAGTAATTTAGTTGTTTTCCCCTTTGCAGTGAATCTACGACTGCCAGCACACTTGTTGCCTGAAGCTGATACATGATGGAATGGTGGATTTATAACTTGTTATTTCGGGAAGAGAGTTGCTAGTTACTCTTAGACTATTTTTCTTCGTAGAGTTTTTGGAATGCTTGATTTTATTGAGGTAGACTGGAATATCACTAAGCTGGGTAGTGCAATATTTATATGATCTTCCATGGGGAATGCAGGTCCAGTTTTCTTAAGAATGTGACCAGCTGTTGACATGCCCCCCCCCCCCCCCCCCCCCCCCCCCCCCCCCCCCCTCTCCTTCTCTCTCTCTCTCACTCTCTCTCATAAGGACCAGTTTTAGAAATGAATATGGGAAATAAAAGACAAACTTCATCTCAGGCAAAATTTACTCTCCTTTTTGAGTATAAAAGGACCATTATTCATCATTCTTCATTCTATTTTGACTAGTGTTCTTGGGAGTAAACATATAAACGACGATAAGCTTATTTGATAAACTGAATTGAAGATTTTGAAAGTCACGACAGTGTGGCAACCCTCATATGAAAGTGTGTATGACAGTATTGGTTGTTTTGTTCCACCTATCTTTGCTTGAGCTAGTGGTACAAACATATTTAGCTAACACCAGCGCTAAGATTGTATGTTGAGTTTATTTTATCATGTTTTCATCGGTTGCTTCTACTTTGACTGCCTATAGCTTAATCCAGATATCCAACTATCCAACATAGTTCTCTTATGATATGGTGCCAGATAATTTCTTAGCCTCAAATATTAATATTCCCTTGTTTTGCTTATCCTCATTTTTGGGATGGCGCATAGAAAAGAATGCAAAGAATTTGTAGGGATTGGAGTTGGTTGAACGTAAATTCACATTTTAGACTGCGATTTACCCAACAATTTAGACAGAAACCGTACTGTACCAACAGTCTTCAGCTCTTCTATTAGCACATATGAGCTCATAGCCTCAACACAACATTCACTGGATGGATTTTGATTTGCGAAACTAAAAAATGGGTGTTTTAATTTTTGTTTTAGTCTATAAGTTACACATTTTCATTGATTCAATTATTGTTGCCCGTTACAGTTATTTTACTTGTAGGTGTGACCATAATGAAGAGACAAAACATACGGTTGCTAATTGTTTATGGAGCTGAACTTGGATCTTGTATATGTTCCAAGGAACCGTACTCTTGCTCTCATTGCATGCACTTGCTTGGTTTTCAAGTTGCTGCCTCGTGAATTAGCCCGTCTGCACATGACGGAGGAAAAAGCTAGTGCTATTTCCGGGGATGAGGAGTATATCTCTTCAAAGTCTACAAAAGTTGAGCTCTGCCCAAGTGCCAATTTTGGATTTGGTGCAGAAGAAATTCCTCTAACCAGTTGATTAGATGTATCCCCAACAAAGAACTCGTGCGCACTTCCCTAGAGTTCTATCCAGCTGCAGCCGGGAACTTTCTTCAGGTCCCTTTCATTTTTGTCCTAAGCTGCCTAACATAGTCCCATGGACCAAATTGAGCGTACATATTCAATATAAGTACGAAAGAACTGGGATTATAAGAATCCGTTCCAATCAGATGCTGAGCGACTGGCTCTCCAACGCATGAGTTTTCATGATTAGTGGATAAAATTAGCAAAGTTATCGCCAAACTACATCATTTGGCTCAATGGGCATCTCCTTGACAAATCTTGTGGCTTCTTCTACGTGCCCTGTCCGGGTAAGAATGCATGATGTTGGAGCTTAGGCTACATCGTGTGAAATCTGTTGTTTCTAGAGTTTGAATTCACTCCTTCGAAAACAATCGGACAGAATTACCTGAATGCAGGAATTGATCAACAGGATCAGGAATTGTAATTCGAGCCCACCGACTTCACGATGTGTCCTTAAAACGAATTTGCTGCCTTCAATGGTGCTAAAGGCGTCCAGCAATTGTTTCCCAGGATAGAACGAATTTTTCGTCTCCTACGGAAGCAGCACTGCAGTCTGTAGGAGTTCCAACGAACTCAACGAAGTGTTTTTGACTTCGAGACAATATCAGAACGAGAGAGAGGGAAATGAGATTCAAAGCACAGAAAGTTTGCAATGAAAATGGTGTAAATTTTCTGGTAGAAAGGCTGGCTATTTATAGACTTGTTCGTGGCCATTCGAACAGTCATCACCTTTCAGACAAGCCTCAAAAATCCGAACAGACATACTGTTCTTAAAAGTCGTGTCTGTTAAGTCGGTTAACAGTCGGCTAACAGTCGACTGTTTGGTCGGTAAACAGTCGAAACAGTCGACTGTTACAAGAAAATAAAACACCCGGAATAAGCCAAAACTTAAATAAATTTTGTACCCAAGAATTTGATTATTTACAATTTGGCCCAAAATTTTAAATAAATTTTGTCCAAAAAGTTAATATAGTGTAAAGGTCGACCCGCACCCGCACACGTGCCCGAGTCCGGTCCGATCGGACGGACGGCGGCGGCGGCGCGCGCGCGTGTGGATTTATGACCGAACCCAATAGGATATAGGTCTTCCCCCTTCCAAAGACTATTGGTACCCCTTGGGGCCCAAACCCAATTCCAAACTTCCACCTTATAAACCACACCAAAGTTTCCTAACTTTCCTATGTGGGATAAGTGTTTGA